AGGTATAATCAGATTCAGATGCCATTATCTTTGATAAGACAGAGTCCTAGGTGACGTGATAGACATCTGGAAGAGGCACCACTCTGTTGATGATCAAGCCTTAGGTCATTAAATTTATTAAAGTTTACAAAATGATGTTTTAATTTTGCCAAATTTTTTCATATATATTACTTGGAATAATTTTTAAAGAGAAACTCTATCTAACTATGTCTTAGGTTACCCAGGTGTACAGTTTCATAGGAAAGACAACAAGGTCAATGCTTGATCTGTTCCCTTTACTTACCAGTTCTTAAAATAGAGTTGGTCCCCTGTTATTCCCCAAAAGTGACTACATTAGGATGTTATTTTGTTTTTGTTTTGGGTGTCCACTTTGAACTCATGGGTTTAAACATACTTGATATGCTTCAATCCATAGCAATTACCATTCTTATTGCTGATCCAATTGTCCCATGGTGGGCCAGAGGTAGTTTCAAGGTGGCTTCTGAGTCCTTTTGGCATGACCCTACTCTTTGGTAGCTTCCTTAACTTTCTGATATTGCACGTTGTAGTGGCCTCATTTCTGCCCCAGACCTGAAAGCAGTCATTTTTTGAGTGAGAAATGGTATTGTAGACAATTGGGGTGCTAGGGAAGTCTGTTGCAGTACGCCTTTACAGTGCTTCTGGGGAAGATTCAGAAATTGCCACCACTACCATCTTCCCAGAATCCAATGGCTATAATCATAGCATTTCTAATTCTGAAGAACTGTTATGATTGAGACTGTTGCTGTACCACAGAGGGGATTAATTGCACTGATTCTATACTGGCAAATATGAGCTGGATCCTGTGGCTCTTGTTTTCTGCCACAGGCTGGGATGTGCCTTGGTCTTGAGGTAATAGACATTCAGAGGGATGCTCTGAATGTTTTCCTCACTACTTTTAGAACCTCAGCAGTGTAGAAGTCAGCAAACTATTAGACTGCTTATCCATAATCTAAATCATTTTACACCACCCCTTTTCTCAGTTTCTTGACAGCTCCACCTCTAATACTCCCCAGTGAAAACTTCTGCTAGACAATTGAAGATTAAGAGATACATAGGTCCCTCTTATTTTTCATAGTATGAACAAACATCAAACTCTTGGGGAAGATTGGTCTTATGTTGCATTTTCTGCAGTTACTGTTGGGATTAAGGAGGAAGTGTTAAGAAATGGTCTTTGTCCTTACTCACTAATTGATGATCCAGAATAAGACATTGTAGAGATACTCCATCCTACACAACTCAAAATGCTTGGGTTGAGAGTCTTACTCTCCCATTGTGATGTAGGAAAATTACTTTTTACATTCCTGTACCTTTAGTTTCCTCATAAGTAAAACAAAATGTAGATTTTTTTCAGATTTGTTTGTCTTCAAATTCTGTGTTTCTATGAATGAATCAGACTTACTTGTTTGTGTTCGCTTTGCTCTTGTGTCCTCTGACCGAAGTGATTACAGTATCATCTTCCTTGGCCTCCCAGCCCAGACACTCCCCTGTTCATGCATATCTTCAACCTTACCTCAGACCATTGATCTTCTGAAACATCAGCATGCTACTGTCTAGTTCTTAAGTATAAGAGCTTTGTAAGGTATGAACTCTCTCTGTGCAAGATGTGACCTGGCTCTGTAATTCCTTCTCAGTTTTATTTTTTGCCAGTTTTCTTCATCAGCTAAATCTGTCTCTGTCCATCCTGAACTACTCACTATTCCTTAAACTTGCCATGCTATTTTTTAATATGAAATTTTTATAAATTGTTCCATCAGACCTGAATTTTCTCTTCTTCCATTTTGGAGAATTCCTGCTCACTTTTTAATAACCAGCTCTACTGTCTGTCTGTATTGTAATGTCTTCCTTAACCTTTCTGGCATTTAGCTGGCCTGGCCTCTTATCCAGTAACACTTTTGTACATTTCTGGTTTATCATATTGGATTATAATTTATTTTAGAATCCTATACTTTTCTTTAACCTCCTGGAGGATAGACCGTAATTCAGCTAGTAGTGCTCAATACATGGATGGATGGATTGATGGATGGATGGATGGGTAGATGACTAAAGTAGAAGTGCCAGTATTAGAACCTAGGATTCAAGACTCAATTCTTAATCCTTAGGATACTGAGTATAAGGGTCTATTTTATTCCGTTCTGCATTATTTCCATTTTCCCATTATTAAGTTATACATATCAATATAGAAGAATAGAAGAAATAACAGATAAGGAAAAAAGAAAGGTCAACTAGTAGCTTCTACCCAGAAATAACAGTTAACTGTTTTATGTGCATTATTTGTGCTAGAATTTTATGCAAACACATAAAATTTTTAAACAGCATTTAGTCTAAACATATTGTTTTGTTCTTTCTTTTTGCAAGTAGAAATATAAACATTTTTCCTGTTTCTAAGCTTTTTAAATGGCTTTATATGTATACCATAAATTATTTAGCCAGTTTCTTTTGTTCATCATTTAGATTGCTTGAAAGTTTTAGATTCTATAAATTACACTATGATAACATTTTTTGGCTATATTTTTCTGCCTACTTATGACTTTTTTCTTAGGATAAATTCTTACAAGTGAAATTAATGGATAAAAATACTGATTTTGAACTTTTTACACTATAACACAACACCTTGAGTATGCTAGTTAGATTATTATTGTGTCAAGTCACTTGGCAATATTTTCAAGTAGGGGCAAACATTTAAGTATCATTGTGCATTAAGATGCTTTCCTTCTTATTGATCTAACCTCCCTCAGTCAAGGAACCGGGGACTCAGCCTGAATTCTAGAGGTTCACCCTAGGTTCTATGGCTTAAGTGATCCTAAAGATTAAACGTAGTAAACCTCCACTTCTTTAAAAGAAATAAAAACAGGCTTGCTATTGAGTGAAGGCCACTAATACTTTCTACAGGGCTACATCAGGGAACTTAACAAAAACTTCATAGCTACTTAATTAGAACTGCTTTATTTGTTTGCAAAGTCCTTGAAGCGACTGGACCCTCTCTGATAAGCACTAAAAAGGAAGAGTTTTGAAGAACAAGTTAGGAATAAGTAAAGCAATTTTATAGCTGAGAATTATTTGAAAGAAGTATAATTTACTTGCAGTGTACTAGTCATTCATTTCTAGAAACATAAATTCAAATTAAAATATGCATAAATAATACTGTATTCGCTTTAAATTTATTTTATTAATAAAAAATATATAACATTGAGGTTATTTCTTTCTTTCACTGTTCTCTCCTCTGGACATGGAAGAATTGCATTGTTCTCACTGTTATTTTAAACAAATACTAACTCATTTTTTGTAACAATTTTGTTGAGATATAATTCACATACCATACAGTTCACCCAAAGTGTACAAATTGGTGTCTTTATCTCTTCACAGAGCTGTGCAATCATCAGCACAATAAATTTTGGTACACTTTCACACCCCAGAAAGAAACCTCATCCTATTTAGCAGTCATTCCCCATTTCCTCCTAACCCTCTTTCTTCCAGGCAACCTTCAAACAATCAATTTTTCATTGTCTTCCTTCCTCCCTCCCCTCCTCCCTCCCTTCCCCTCCCCTCCCCTCCCCTCCCTCTCCTCCTCCCTTCCTATCCTCCTCCCTCCTCCTCCCTCCCTCCCTCTCTCCCTTCCTTCCTTCCTTCTTTCCTTCTTTCTTTTTTAATAAAATGGAATTCAATCTATATACCTGGTATTTTTTAAAGTTTTATAGAAGCATTACCACTTCCAGAATTTTCATGGCACATTAACACAGCAGTCGATAAGTAAATAGTTATTTGACTGAAAACACAATTCTTTTATAAACCACTTAACAATATGCATTTACTTTTTTATTGCAAAGGTTTTTTGTTGCTGTTGACATTATTACAAATGTTTCCCATTACATTTACTTTGTATACAGACTATTATCCAAGAAAAACAAAATGCTAAATTAAGAGTTCAGGCATATTAGACAAGTGTTGACTTCTGGATTTCAGAAAGATGAGGAAACTTCTCTTCCTTGCTTCAGTGTGGGCTTGTTTCTTGAGTTTCAATCTGACAAAATGTTCCAGATGAGACATTGCAAAGAATAATTTCCTATTGAAACTTTCTTAGGAACCAAAGTATAGGCTACTTGAACTTTTGTCAGATTATTTTTCCAAAGATGTCTCATAGAAGCACCAGGTCTGGCTTTTTCTTGAGCAGTTCAAAGAAGCCTTAGGATATATTCTCTTTTTTGGATAAACTTTTCTAATGCATCCATGAATTTCCTACTTTTTCTCATCGTTCTGGACTTAACAGTGACCATCTGCCAGTTGGTCTCCTGCTCTAGCATTAGAAGCATTTTTTTCTTTTAGCAGCACATACCACAGTTTATGTATATATTCATTACTTTTGTTCTTAGATGCCAACACATTCATGAAGCTCCAGTTTTCATTTTCTGCCCCCTCTAATTCCTTGTGTCATCAAAAATTTCTTCCAATACTTTCCTTGACAAAGTGGTATAAAATAATCCACACTGGTGAAAAGATGTAACATTTGCTGTATTCTTAGGCAACAAACTAAGGGTAAACCTGCCACCTGAGCTAGCTAGGGCCAGAGTTACTGACAACCTGGAAGTCTCTGGGGTGGCCGAGAGTCTTCTGCAAAGAATGGCCAAAATGCACTAATCTACTTCCTGTCTCTATGGAGTTATCAATTCTGGACATTTTATGTTAAGTGGAATCATGTATGTGGTTCTTTGTGACTGGCTTCTGTTGTAGCATGTATCAGTGCTTCACTCTTTTTATGGCCAAATAATATCCCACTGATATTTTGTTTATCCATTTATCAGTTGATGAACATGAGTTATTTGACTATCAGGAATAATGTTATGAACATTCATGCTCACATTTTTGTGTGGATGTGAATTCATTTATTATGATTGTAATTTACATTTATTTATTTGTGAAATTGAATAATTTTCATGTTTATTGACCACTTTGCGAATTCATTTTATACCTCTCTTTCCCCCCAGTGTCTTTCACGAGAAGCAGGTGGAAGCATGAGCATTCAGTTTCTTGGTACAGTGGTAAGTATCAAAGAATTATTATCTTGTATATTCTCCTAATTTTCAGAGAAAAAAAAGGTTCAACTAGTTTTAGCCCATGTGTTTGAACTTGGCTTCATCATGATTGTATTTGGCTATTAAATGAGATATCTTTGTATTAAAAATGGGTTATTTAAAGTGTTAGAGAAGTTTCCATAATAGAACACTTTTAGCAATTTCTGATTATAGAGAAATAGTTTTTAAAAATATTTGCAGTTTTTTTAGTATTTCAAGTGCTTTTTGCTACTGGATATTTTCTCCCTATTTTGTAATAAAATAAGAACATATGTATCACATAAAGATGCTTTTGAAAATGGTGACTTTACTAGGGATTTTTGCTCAGTTTCCTTTCTATCTTTCTCTATTAAGTCCTTTCAAGTACACATTTCTAATGAAATTAAATTATAATTTTGTATCTTGATTTTTTCACTTATGATTCTATTAATTGTTTTCTGTATTGCTATAAAATATCAGCATTGTTTTAATGAAGTTGTATTTAACAATGTGATGAGTAGATGTGACATATTTTACTGTCCATGAATCCCAACTCTTAGGCATTTCAGTTACCTCTCATTTTTGCCAGTATGATTGGTGTTATAATGAGCAACTTCATGTATTTTGCTTTTTTGACATTTTGAATCATTTCAAATACATATAAGATATTTTCAAAAATTTATAAGACATATTTTCTTCTAAATTGACTTAAAACCATAAATAATTTTATGGGTTAATGTACATCTTACCAATTATTTTATATCTCTTCTGGAATCCACTCATTATATCACTTTGCATTCTCAATAGTATTAATTATAATTTTCAAAATATTTAACTATCTGGTAAAAAGAAATTTTCTTTATAGTTCCTATTTTCATTTATAACTATATATTAATAATAGTTGTAATTTTCAAAATAATTTTACCATTAAAAATGTACCTTATTTTAATTAGCATGTCTATTTATTGCTATTATATATGAATATTTCTCCATTATTCATTTACTAGGTATCATTTATAATCTTTAAAATGTCTATTCATGTGCTGTGGGTACCTTGTTCAGGCTATAAATTTACATTGGGTTTTGGGCTCTGTGAACTTATTGATGATAATCAGAGGAGAGGCCTATGGCTTGGATCAAAAAAGTAGTGATTTTTGCAGCTTTTGAGGAAGGAAGGATATTAATAATAATGTGAATTTATAGTTTATATATGTTTAGAGGTATAGTTAAGTTTACATGTAGTAGTATATATTTATACTCTTTCTCTATATGTATCCCAACTTTTAAGTGTTGACCTAAAGACATGCACTTATTCTTGTTTTTCTGATTAAGAAAATAATATACATTTTTTAAATTGAAAATCTAGATACTATTTAAATGCATGTATTAAGAATTGTATTAGTAATATTAGTAAGGGTTGTCCAGAGAAACAGAACCAATACGATGCATGTGGGGTGGGGCAGGGAGGTGGGGAGGAAGGAGGTGGAGGAATTGATTTTGAGGATTTGATTTACATGACTGTGGAGCCAAATCCAAAATCTTCCAGGGCAGGGCAGGGGAGAGTTGCAGTTTAAGTCCAAACATAGTGTGCTCTTACAGGATTCCTCTTTGCTTGGGAGGTCAGTACTTTTTCTTCAAATGGTAGAATGAGGCCTACTTATATTATGAAGGGTAATCTCAGTTTACTGATTTAAATGTTAATCTCATCTAAAAATACCTTCATAGAAACATTTAGAATAATGTTTGGCCAAACATCTAGATACTGTGGCCTACCCAAGTTTACATATAAAATTGGCCTTCACAGAAGTATACATCCTGCTCCCTAGCAATACTGGTATTTAAGTTATTAACAATAGATATATTCTTCCAGAAATTGAATTATACAATTTTTTATGCAACAATAAACATGTACATTTTCTCAGGTCATGACATAAAAAACCTATGTCATTTTTTAAAGGATTGGTTTCTTTTTCAAACATTTTTTTCTTTTATTGTTTCTAGAGAGAGAGGTTGAGGGGGGTGGGGAGAAAGAAAGGGAGGGAAACATGGAATGGCTTGCCTCTTGCATGCACCTCAACTGGGGACTGAATCCGCAACCCAGGCATGTGCTCTGACTGGTAATTGAACTGGCAATCTTTTGGTTTGCAGAATATTACCCAATCAACAGAGCCACACTGGCCAGGGCTCTGTAATTCTTTTTAATGGTTACCTAGAATTATATTATGTGGCAGTTTTCCTGTACCTAAGTGCTCATGCTAGAAAGTGCACTTAAGCTGTCTCTGCTACTTGGTTTCTCTCCTTGGATTCTAATAGATTACTCAGTGTTTGTGTATTGAAAACTGAGTTCTTGGTAGCTACAACCTGCAAAAAACCAAAATAAACAATTTCTCCTGCAATATTTTCCTCAGAAAATGGCAACCTGAACTAAAACCTTGTAATTTTCATGATTCATGCCTTTCTTATACCACTTCCACTGCCTTCATCATCTCTTATCTGAATGTTGCAGCAGCCAGTGTCTTCCTACCTCCACCACTGTTCCCTAATCTGTTATTAATATAGTAGGTAAAACGATCCTTTTAAAATATAAATCAAGTCAGTAGGCCTTGTTTCTGTTCTTCAAACACGTCAGGCACATGCCTCAGAGTCTTTTCTTTTGCCCTTTCTCTGCAAGGACTATCTGCCCTCAAATGTCTGTATAGTAGGTTCCCTCCCTTTCTTCATGCTTTTATATATCAGCCACCTCCTCCTAGTCACACTATTCGAAGTTGTGACCACTCTTTCCCTCATTTTATTTCACCTTCCTTCCACTTTATTCTTTTTTTTTTTTAGCAGTTACAACTATTTGACATACTTTAATATCTGACGTATTTTACTTTTTAAAATTTATTTATCGTCTGTCTTCCTGACTTGAATGAAATAAGCTCCATGAGCATTGGGCTTTTTGTTTGTTTTGTTTGTCACTCTATACCTAGCACTCAGAACAGGCTTTAGTAAATAGTAAGTGTTTAGTACACATTTGTCAAGTGAATAAATGAAATTGACAAGTATGGGACCAAAATATTAGCTGTAAAAAGGAAATATGAAGAAAGCAAATTAGAAAAAAATGAAGAAAAAGAAATGTAGGGAATGTTTGGGACCTTAAAGATTAATCCTTCTTCCTCAGGTAAGGAAACTACACATCAGAAAAGATAACTTGTGGGTGTTTGTGAAAAAAAAGATAATTTGTTTTACCCAAGGTTTTACATCTAGTTTGTGGCAGAGCAAAGAAGGGTACTCACATTTCTCAGCTCTCAGCTCAGTGTTCATCTTATCAGCAAATGTCCTTTATCTTTATTCCCTTCCATCTACCTCAGGCACTGAAAACACACTAGAAGAAAAATATACATGTAAGTATATACACAACCTGACTTCAGTCACCTGAAACATACTACAAAAAAAATCACACACACATGCATACACCACCTTACAGCCAACAAAATGTCACCTGAAAAAAGGAAAGTGGAAAGGAGAATTTTATATATCCAACACTACCCTTCTCTAGTAAATGACAGATTACTTACTAACAAATCCCAAAGAAGGTCTGTATCCATTTTGTTTATGTGGTTTATATAGGGAAAGGATGTCAATTTCTGTTTTTTTAAAGATACATTTATTTATTTTTAGGGAGAGGGGAAGGGAGGGAAAAAGAGAGGGAGAGAAACATCAATGTGTGGTTGCCTCTCTCACTCCCCCAACTGGGGACCTGGCCTGCAACCCAGGCATATGCCCTTACTGGGAATTGAACTGGCAACCCCTTGGTTCACAGGCTGGCACTCAGTCCACTGAGCCACACCAGCCAGGGCAAGAAGGGATTTCAATTTCTAAAGTAATTACTCTAAAATTCTACAACACAGCGAGTTGGACAGCCAATGTAGTTTGTTACAGTGCATTTTTCTGGGTATATTATTAGTAATATTAGATCAGTATGGAAGAGGGAAAGAAAAGGTTTTGATATAGTGGGACTGTTACAACAGATAGAGAGTGATTACTAGCTAGTGTATGCTCCTTCAGTCCCAATTATCTATACAAATGTAGTTTCCAAAACTCGCGGGTCAGGAATAGCAGTAGCACATCCCCATGGTAAAGGTAAGATTGCCCAAATACACATTTGTCTTTGTGAGAATCCTTGTAGAATTTTCTTCTATGTAAGCTGAGTTTTTTTAGTATGAAAAACCAGCCCTTTTGTGTTAAATGAAGAGTTTAATTTTAATCTAAAAGAAGTACTTTTGTTGTGCCAATAAAGTTCAGAATTGTTACTGTTTCAGCTTAGAGAAAGTACAAATTTAATTTCATTCCTTTTTACTCACACTGAACTTTTAAAAATTTCAGTCTGTTATTTTCATTTCTAATGAAACAAATCTCATTACATTTTAAAAATTTGGCCTCTCCTTTCTGTTATGCTCTTTGAACTTCATTTAAAATTATCAGGTAGTGTTAACTAATTACACCTGTGAAGACACTATTTCTAAAAAAGGTTGCATTCTGAAATTCTGGGTGGACATGAATTTTTGGGTGACACTATTTAATCCAGTGCACACTTTATATAGGGCATAAAAGCATACTTGACATGTGTGAAAAATAAAAAAATTCAGGCAATTTATGTAGAAATATATTTGATAAACAGGGCATTCTTCCTGGATAAGTATGTAATAATATACCTTATTAAGTATATAATAAGTATATAATAATGTACCTTATTAAGTATATAATAATATACCTGATTTGAGTGCTTTCATTTATTTTTCAAAATAGTTTATCATCACCTATGTAATGGGTGTTAGTATGTAGTACATATTCAAAACATGCTGAAACACTGATGAAGCCTGTGCCTAAATTTTGGAGGCTCAGACAATACTGAGCATAGAGAGGTTAAATGACTATTCTGTGGTAGTAACTAGTAGAATCAGAGTACAAAACCAGGTCTCTGACTTTAAGTCAAGCTGTTAACC